GGGGAGATAGTGCTGCAGCACTATCAAAACTTGAAAAAGACATTGTCCCTACATAGTGAATCAAGTTCACTCCCAAACATCTGGAAGGCGTGGTTTCCATCCTTACATGGAATCAGCTCCCTTCTTCTTGTCAGAAAAGGCCTGTTAAATTGGGCCATTCCCCCCCCCCCAAGTCTTCCAATAATAATGATGATGTGCCATCAGGTTGCTTCTGAATGTGAGCAACCTCTTCTGTGGTTTCCCATGTACTCAGAGGTGGTTTGCCATTCCCTTCTTCTGGGACTATGAAGCTTCCCAAAAGCTACCCAGGCTGGCTCTTCACAATTTGCCGCATGGAGCAACTTTTTTGTTTTTCATAGTTTGAAGGGGAGAGACCAGCAACTCCTGATGGTTTATGGAAGGCTAAAAATGGTACCTGGACCATCAAAGGTTGCCTCCCCCCCCCAACACGCACACTTTAAAGACTTTGCAGTGTAGGTGGGAAATTATTCTGCAAGCCAACAGGTGATGTACATGCGGATGTGAGTATGAAATTATAAGGTGACCTTTCTTCTTCATTCTTTAAGGCAACCCCTCTTTCTCCCACCTGAGATTATGAAACTGTAATTTCAGTCAGACGAAAGAAAACCTTCTCTCTCTCTCTCTCTCAGCAACTGAGGCAGTACATTTGCAAGGACAAGGCTTAAGGATGAACACAAGAATTTTTAGTATGTGTACATTACTGAAACAGCGACGTGTACATTGGCTTGGGCATGTCATGAGAATGGCTGATGGTTGGATTCCAAAAGATCTCCTGTATGGAGAATTAGTGCAGGGAAATCACCCCAGAGGGAGACCCCAGCTGCGATACAAGGATATCTGCAAGCAAGATCTGAAGGCCTTAGGAATGGACCTCAACAGATGGGAAACCTTTACATCTGAACGTTCAGCCTGGAGACAGGCGGTGCATCACGGCCTCTCCCAATTTGAAGAGACCCTTGTCCAGCAGGCCGAAGCAAAGAGGCAGTCCCAAAAGCAGCAAAATCAGGGAGCTGGACAGGGGACAGATTGGATTTGTCTTCAGTGTGGAAAGGATTGTCACTCTCGAATTGGCCTTCTCAGCCACACTAGACGCTGTTCCAACTCCTCCATTACCATAGTCTCTAGAGACTGAAGGATGCCTACGGTAATGTTTTGAAGAGACATGCCCTGGTATTACATCGGTTAGCCATGTAATACCAGGGCATGTCTCAGTTGCATGCTGGGTCACACACGTTATTGCACTGAGATGCACCCCAGCAGTCTGTCAATTTGCAGCAATTAGCTGCAGCAAATTATACAAGCTGACATTAGCATCCTTAGGATTCTAATGAGGGAAGGAAAAGTGAATATCCTTGAATGTAATGTGAGCATCCTAGGTACCAACAGAAGAACCAAGGCAGCCGCATAACATCTAGACACGTAACCACTTGTTCTAACTTTGAAAAATCTGTTCTTTCTAACCTAAAATGTTCCCATGTCCATCAGATACTGTTTATAGACAATGTATGCCATGTACGTATAAACATAGATATTGTGGTTGTTTGTGGAAGCTTGATAATTGAGTATGCAAATGTGCCAGCATCATTTGCAGACCTGTTATGCTGACTTGCATGTATCATCTTGTCAAACATCTTGTGAATGTTTTGCATAGACATTTGCATAACTAATTGCTCTGGATTTGTCCCAGCAAAGATAAGGCATTCTATGTGGTCATGAAACATGTGTCTCTGTGTTCCTGATGAACTTTTGTACACCTTACCACTAATAATAATACTGCAAATCTGTGCAGAACATAAAAAACACTGCCTAGCTGATGTACTAAATCTAAATTAAGTCAATTGGTTTTACACTCTAATTGAGAGACTAGCGAAACTTGTTTTAAACAAAAGGATTAAAGTAAGAGCTGGAGGGGAAAAAGATAAACAAACCTACGTATTTGCGAGTTGAAGTATTTATTTATTTAAAATAATTTTTATTCATTTGGGTAGAACAAGTCTTTGTAAGATCTCCGAGAATAGGCAATCCTATTAACATGGATATGAGTTTTGGGAATAGGAAGGCTACATATATAATAAATAGACAATATAACATAGCCCTATGCAGGAGTTTGTCCAAACATGTGAAGGGCTACCTTCATGGTGAGAAAATGAGTGTGCAAATAAGCCACTCCGTGCAGAGGACAGCTAGACCTTTGCCCATGGAACACAACGGTCTAAACAGGCCTGCGTAAGTGCATTCCTGATCACAGGATTTCTTTGTGCACATTTAGCGAAAGCTCCAACAGTATATTCTTCAGATCTTTGGGATCAATGCTCAAAGGCCTGTGCAGATAACCACTGTAGCTATCAAGACAACAGCTGCTATAGTCACCCAAGACCTTCTAAGGTACATCCATAATTCCTGTGTGAATTAGCTCTGCAGATTTGCAGAGAGGTCAGTTAGCAAGCGTTTTAATCCAGAACTGCCATCATCAGTATCATCATCAGTATCAATGGATTCAAGTAGGGTTGTGCAAAAATCACTTTATTTGGTTTGGGACTTGATTCAGTGACTCATATTTAGGCCTGATTTGGTATGCACCAAGTCACACTATCCCATTTGGAACCCAAAACTGAATCAAAATTCATAAATCCAAACCTAAGACTGATTTGTATTGGGAAATTAATACAGTTGAATCTCTTTTCAGCGACTTGAAAGTTAAGGAGGTGATAGCTCTCTCAGAATGGATTATTCTGACCAAATTCCAGATAAACAGATCCAGTCGTTTTTATGCCAGCCCCTTTTAGACAAACGGTGGTTCCCTAATAACCAGTTTATTTCACTGTGAGCTTTTGAAGATTACTGTCCATTTCACTGTACACATGGCTCCAAAGTGTGAGGAAATGGATTGTAATCCATGAGATCCCACACTGAAATAAATCTCTTTGTCTTTAAGGTGCCATAATACTTTTGCTTTATCTTTGGTTATATATGTTGAGTATCAATAGATTGGATTTTTCTTTTGACATCCTTCCAACACAACAGCTGTCAGTTTCTACTTCCTGCTTTCCATCCTTTCTCCAATTACATACTGCTAAAGAACCTAATGCAGAGAAGCAGCAGGGTATGAGGAGAAGAAAGCACCTAAAGCTTTCATTTCCAAACTACCTCTCCAGGGTTCACCGTTTGCAAACATATATCTGGAATCCCATGGGTGAGAAGAAACTTCATCGCTATGGGATGGTCATCATTTCATTTTTCACCTGCAGTGCCTAGTGTGTCCCTCTCTATCTACCAGAACAAGGCTGGGGAATGTGTGGCCTTGACTACAAATCTCATAATCCCTCACTATGGGTTACGCAGGTTACCGCTCATGTGAAGAGCAATCTGACAACATCCGGAGTGCTGGATGTCCCACATCCCCACAACCAAAGGACATCAGATTTGTGATCTTTGGGAACCCTCTTTGTAGCTACTGGCGAGCCCCTGGACATCTGGTCTGGAACCCCGAAGTACTACAGCGGATTCTGGGACTGGCTCATTGGAAAGATGAAGTAAGGTTTGAGGGGTTGTGCTTCAGTCTTCTCCCGCCTTCAATTAGCACGTTGTAGAATACACTGTACACCACCTGTAGTTGGGCACTGAGATAGCCGTCTCTCTTCCAGGGAAATGTCAGCAGAAGCTGGCCCATTATGGCACCACTGCAGGCTTGGAACAGAAGCAGCTACGTCCATGCTGGCTTGCCTCCTTTTCTCAGATGCAGGACAGGGTCCCCACGCTATGTTTCCCTCTTGATGATCCGTCAGCCTCTTCACACTTTGTCAGAAGAGTGCCAGATTTGAAACCACACAGAAAGGGATGCAAATAGCAAGCAGGGACTTTTCTAAATTGGGGGAGGCAAGAAGGGTGCATTTCTCTTGTGGACTGAATGAATTGGGTGGGGTGGAGTGGGGTGAGGCAGTGCCTATGTTTAAGTGTGCCAGGCTTTATGTGTATCTGTATGTCTGCAGGCATCCTTGTACAGGCCTACCTGCTTTTGTATGTTTCCACAAACAATTGCCTGCTGCACATTCCAGAAGCCACAGCAGACTCCAGCCACCACTAGGCAACATGTCTGCCCTTACCGATTTTGTAAATTGGGTTATCCCTGGTAAAGTACTGATTCTAGGCAAAGGTTGTTGGCTTTTTCTTTGGATGCTTTGTTTTCTTTGAATGTATATGTTTCTGTGTTGTAAGATGTTGTTCATAATGAAGGAAACCGTATAAAAATTTTAATTTATATTGAACCCTGAGCTGAAGAGTAAGACACAATTCAAATCAGAGGTGAACACTTTGATGCTGAATTTCACACAATCAAACCTTAGCCCCTTTAGTTAAGTACCTCATAAAACCATAGAAGGATTGAGTTGGAAGTAGCCTGTAAGGCCGTGGAGGCCAAACTCCAGCTCAACGCAGGAGTCCAAATCAAAGCAGATCCAGCAGATGGCTGTCCAGTTCTCTCTTGAACGCCTCTGGCACTGGAGTGCTCACCGTCTCCTGAGGTAAATTGGTTCCCTTGTTGTACTCTTTTGTTAGGAGGGTTTTTCCTGATATTCAGCTGAAGTCAGGCTTCCTGTAACCTGAGCCCATTATTGCATGTTTCCTGTAACCTGAGCCTGTTATTGCATGCCCTGCTGTCTGGGATGATCAAGAACAGATACTGCCCTCCTGTGTGATTGAAAGATGTTTGAAAGGTGCTATCATATCTCCTCTCAGTTCTTTCAGTCTTTTTTTCACAGGGCTTGGCTTCCGGGCCCCTGATCATCCTTGTTGCCCTCCTCTGAACTTGCACCAGTTTGTTGACATCCTTCTTGAAGTGTGGTGTCCAGAACCTGGCACAGTACTCTAGTAGATGAAGCCTAACCAGTGCTGAGCAGACGGGAAACTAGTACCTCACAGGATTTCCAAACTATACTTCTGTTAATGCAACCTAAAATAGCATTCACCTTTTTTGCATCCACATTGCACTGGCACCTCATACTCAGCTTTTTATCTATAGCAATGACCAAAATACTTCTCACTCATAGTATTACTGAGCCAAGTATCCCCCATCTTCTCCCTGTGCATTTCTTTTTCTTCCTAGGTGTAGAACCTCCAGATTATAATGATGGGAAAGGCTTCTGCTTTGTATGAAATGAGAAATGTACAACCATGCTTGCAGAATTCACAATGTGCCTCTAGGGGGCAACAGTGATAGACCGAGCCGGTCTGGCTACCCTGGAACACATCCCTCTTTTGTCAGGTCTACTCTGTTGCTTTCTCACCTACAGAAGGATGTTCTTCCACTTGATTCCCACCCACCTCATCCTTTCTCTCTTCCTCTCAAGTCATGTGGCCAGTAATAACACTCCTCATTTTTTATCTCACCCAGACCATGTCATTTATTTTATAAAATCTCTGAGAACAGTCTTTTCCTACACACATGGTGAGGGGTTACTATCATGAACTGCCCTCCAGATACTTTGGGGACTTTCCACAACCCCTGAGCAACAGCCATGGTGGCTAAGGGTGACAAGTGTTGTAATAATAATTTTTTAAAAAACCTATTAGGCATCAAGCGGCCCAGTCTTGGAAGAGACAATACTGGACTTAAAGTGTCCAGCTTGGCACGAGACAATGATAGCTCAGTGGTTTAGATCAGTGGTTCTTAACCTGGGGTTACTCAGGTGTTTTTGGACTGCAACTCCCAGAAGCCTTCACCACCAGCTGTGCTGGCTGGGGTTTCTGGGAACTGCAGTTCAAAAAGACCTGAGTGACCCAAGGTTAAGAACCACTGGTTTAGATATCTGGCTGTGGAACGAGAGGTTGAGAGTTCAGGTCCTCACTGTGCCTCCTTGAGGCTGGACTCAGTATTCCGTAGGGTCCCTTCCAACTCTGCAGTTCTAAAATGATGATGACGACGATGACAACCTTGCTCATCATTCCAAAGCCAGGGCATCGGACTGCCTTTCCCTGGCCTCTACTGGTTTGCATCAAGAGACCGCACAGCTCGTTTGCCAGGTTTCTGCGACTGAAACTCTTTACAGGACTTCCAAGTTGCAACCAAAATGTGACCGAGCAACTGCCACAGGAAACACAGAGCTGAGAAAGCACTGCTCTCAGGCCCACAGACCAACATCTGATGTGGGATTCCCAGAGGTAAAAGACTCCCTTTACTACTTGACTCAACGGTCTTCCTTCACCCTCAAACCACAGTTCATGAAAGATTTTTCTTTTCTTTTTTTAAAGAGCAGAAGTGAAGCAACTACTTCTTAAAAGCTATTGTTTTTATTATTATTACCCTTACTGAGGAAAAGACAGCTTTTAAAAAAGAAAAACCCAAATGAATGTGTGACACATCCCATTGCAAGCCATGAGTCAGAGCCGGGGAACTATATAACGCATTTGTTTTCCTGTAGTTAGTTACACTCCCGTGCAAACAACCGGTCTGGAAGGGAAACCCCCTCCAGCAAATGAGATCAAACAGAGTCCTCCTTCCCACACATTTCTGGAACTTTCCTACCCTAATGTCCAATAATTTATGCTACAGCAATAACGAAGTACTGTACTCCCTGTTCTAGCCTCGAACAAGTGCTGGAATACAATACTGGAAGAGGAGCATCCATGCACAGGGACCTCATGCTGAACTAAACAACTCATTCATTCCATCATCCTTTTCTCTTTTAAACTGGAAAAAAAGGGGCTTGATTCATGACTAACTCATAAACATGGAAAACACAGCAGGAAATAAAATCAAAGGGGATGCAAGTCAGTAAATCATACCACAAGAAAAAACCCTGATTAATTCACAAATGAAGAAATGTGTCATAAGAACATAAGAAGAGCCCTGCTGGATTAGGCCAAGGGCCCAGTTAGTCCAGCTTCCTGTATCTCACAGTGGCCCCACCAGATGCCTCTGGGAGCACATAAGACAACTAGGTACCTGTCTCCTGATACCCCTCCCCTGCATCTGGCATTTTGAAGTACCTTCCTTTGAAGCCCAGAGATTATACATCCCCATCATGGCTTGTAACCTATAATGGATTTTTCCTCCAGGAATCTATCCAATCCCCTTTTAAAGGCATCTCAGCTAGATGTCATCACCACATCCTGTGGCAAGGAGTCCCACAGATTAACAGCACACTGGGTACATAAATATTTTTGTCTCTTCTCACTCTCCCAACACTCATTTTGAGTGGATGTCCCCTGGTTCTTTTGCTCCTGGAGGCTTCAATAAGTGACCATTTTATTGTTAGGGAAAACCACTTTTTGTTTAGTGGGATAGGAGAATCACAGAGTTCAACCTGTACACGGATACCACTGGAGGCTGCTACCATCTAGTGAGTTAATTGCACCGTGAAGCGATCATCTCAATATGTGCAACAGATCAAGCCATGCAAACAGAGTTTTAATGCACATTGCATCAACTTAAATACAGTTAGGGTTCAGGGGAAAAAATCATTTTACAGATTCAAGTAAGTGTCAATGTACCTACAAGGGAATCTAAAACCAGTTTTCCCAGCCAACAGTGCATTCAATATGGCTGTAATGCCTCTTACTTTTCGATTATCAACTAAGACTGGAGCATCCTCAACAGCCACTCACCTTCCTGGGTGTTCCTGCAGGACTTGGTACACACTGATCTGGAACGTTTCATTATCAAAGCGTTCCCTGATGTAGTCTTTGTAAATCCGAAACTCAGCAGCAGTCACAGCTTCGCCCTCAGGGATGCGGGAGAGGTCGAATCGGAATTCACGGTGGTGGCTGCGCTGGTGGAAGAACTCCTTGTCATGTTCCACTGCCAAAGGGGAAAAAAAAACATGCTTCAGGATTTTATTTCATCTTTTGTTGACCATCCATAAGTTATCATCTGCTAGAGTTATCATATCCACAGTAAAAGAGCTGGACCTCTGTGTGTGGACACAGACCATGCAGGAGAGGACAGGTAGAAGGACTTCAGAAGTTTCTACCAATGATAGAGACCCACTAACATTTCGGAAAACCATTTAAAAGAGGGTATGTTTGGTAATCCTGGAACCACACTGGCTCAATTGGAAGGAAAGTGCATTCTACTACCCTACCATCTGTTGCTGAGTGTCTAGATAAGAATACTGTGTCCTCTGAAACTAATCTGTAAAGTGAAACCAGGGGACATCTGTCCCTCCAGAGGTTTTGAACTTCATCTCCCATCAACCCTAGCAAACATGGTCAGTGATAAGTGACTTGGGGGAGTGGGGTTTTTCTGGGGTCAGATGATCCTCATCTGTGCACTATTAGAATGAAGCTGGAAGAGTTGAACTCAGAGAAGACAGAGCAATTTTCTAAGGCCAACTAGTCTTTATGTGAGACCTGAACTGGGGAATTTCTTGATCCATCTTAGATACCAGTTACCATAGTTCTCCATCTACATATTTTTGGCTCGGTTTACAGAATACCGTATTTTTCGCTCCATAAGACGCACCTTTCCATAAGACGCACCAATTTTTTAGGAGAAGAAAACAGGAAAATATAATCTGTTTTCTTTGCTCCATAAGACGCACAGACTTTCCACCACCACCCCTGTTTTGTGGGGGGAAAGTGCGTCTTATGGTGCGAACAATACGGTACTCCTTAGGAAAAGATTTGTGGTTTTAATCCACCAAATGTCAATAGAAACAAGAGATACTCAAAACACACCTTGCATGCCAGAACTTGTTTAGGTGCCTTAGCTTTCTGTAATGAAATAAACTCAACCTAGTGTCTTACATTTGAAGCTCCTATGGTATTTTTTAGGACAGAACAACAAGCTGGGCTCTAATTTGTTCCCCTCTTTACATACATAGTCTCCTCTCCCTCATACCATATTTTTCACCACTTCCAAGGACCTTCTAAGAACCAGGAATAATCAGGAGGATAGTTGCAGAAGGGAAGGTGTGGGTGGGAAGCCTTATTCTTAACCTCTGTTCCATATTTAATTTTAAAGAGTTCTTCATCCCTATTTGACACTGTAGTCATCAAGGCAGAAACCATCAGGCTTTGGAAATAAAATTCAGCAATACAAAACCAAATGCTATTAAGCCACAACCATAAACAAAAAGGACACCTAATTAAAACAGAAGAGGAAGAAATCCCAATGTCTCCACTCAATTCCAGAGTCCAAATACTACTAAACAACAATCAATGAGACAATGATAAATCAACTTTTTTGTACATCTCATTTATTCAGTGGGTCTACTTAAGTTGGGATTTTTTGTTGTTGTTTAGTTGTTAAGTCGTGTCCAACTGTTCGTGAGCCCATGGACCAGAGAACATCAGGCCCTCTGGTCTTCCACTGCCTCCCGGATCTGGTCGTCCACTGCTTCCCGGAGTTGAGTCCAATTCATGTTGGTACTGTAGCTTCGATGACACTGTCCAACCATCTCGTTCTCTGTTGTCCCCTTCTCCTCTTTCCTTCACACTTTCCCAACATCAGGGTCTTTTCCAGGGAGTCTTCTCTTCTCATGAGATGGCCAAAGTATAAGTTAAATAAGCAGGGAGACATTATACAGCCTTGTCGTACTCCTTTCCTAATTTTGAACCAATCAGTTGTTCCATATCCAGTTCTAACTGTTGCTTCCTGTCCCACATATAGGTTTTTCAGGAGGGAGATAAGGTGGTCAGGCACTCCCATTTCTTTAAGAACTTGCCATAGTTTGCTGTGGTCCATGCCGTCAAAGGCTTTTCCGTAGTCAATGCAGCAGAAGTAGATGTTTTTCTGGAACTCTCTGGCTTGCTCCATAATCCAGCGCATGTTAGCAATTTGGTCTCTAGTTCCTCTGCCCCTTCGGAATCCAGCGTGTGCTTCTGGGAATTCTGAAGCCTACCTTGTAGGAATTTGAGCATAACCTTGCTAGCATGTGAAATGAGTGCAATTGTACGGTAGTTGGAGCATTCTTTGGCACTGCCCTTCTTTGGGATTGGGATGGAGAGTGATCTTTTCCAATCCTCTGGCCATTGCTGAGTTTTCCAAATTTGCTGGCATATTGAATGTAGCACCTTAACAGTGTCATCTTTTAAGATTTTAAATAGTTCCACTAGAATGCCATCACCTCCACTGGCCTTGTTGTTAGCCATGCTTTCTAAGGCCCACTTGACTTCACTCTCCAGGATGTCCGGCTCAAGGTCAGCAACCACACTATCTGTGATAATCACAGTCATATGGGCAATTTCATAGATTCTCATCTTAGGTCCTGTAGGGATTTGCAGCTCCAAACCAGCACTTTTATTTGTGCCCAGAAACAATCTGAAAGTCCACCAGAAGCTGCTTGTCAATGGAACACCCAAATGTTAGTATGTTGGCACCCACACATCTCTGGTCATGAGCTGCCCCTGAAGCCAGTACACCTTTTTTCAGCAACAGTGAAGTATGTTCTCTGCAGGGGACTCTACTTAACAACCTGAACTCTCTACAACACAGACTGCGACCAGGCAACCTGAATAGCTGCTGAGTATGCTGTTCAGGTACTGCTGAGTCTGGATGGGTAACTTCTAGGTCCCTGATCTCCTTTCTCGTGGTTCTTTTTCTTTTAATCAGAGATGGACTGAACAGTCCCTCTAGCAGAAGACACCTTCACAAGGAGGGTTGTTTTCTGACAGCCTAGTCCTCAAATGGAGGACTGTCCTCTCTAAAACTGGAGAAGTGTTCGTTCTCTGCAGGGTTGCACCTAACATTCATAGGCTGTGGAATGGATCCTTAAGTGGGAGTTGCAGCCACCTCAAGAGCAGGAAAAACACAACTGGCCTGGTCAAAATGTACCACATAACATGAGAACTTCCAGATTGCCTGCACTGAATTTCAGTTTGTTCCTTTATCTACTCAATTACTAAACCAAGAGACCTATGAGTAAGAATTACTCGCTGACTTTTGAATATCTTATCCCTATAACTGTTTCCTCCCTCTTTAAAAAAAAACCCTTGATGAGACACAAGTGAGGCACTCATTTGTGGCAGGCTAGACAGTGTACTGATGTAAGGAAATGAGTGTGAAGTACAAAACCAAATACATGCCCACTGCTACTGGGCTGTCCGCATGTCCTCTATGACTCATGTGCACCATGAGTGCTATAATACTTGAGCCGTGGTAAATCTGTAGGGTGTGTTATGGATCTTAGCAATTCCTTTGATTCACCTAAAATTGGCTGCGTGGCTGTCTACAGTCTATCCTCTACAGAGGATACTTGAACAGAAAAGTTATGATTATTGTTTGTTTGCTTCCTTGCGTGTTTAAAGCAAAGCCTTCCTGGTATTCAAATATACTTAAAATGGTAATGTTTATTTCTGGGATTGGTCTCTGATGACAGGGAGTTACAGACCAACAACATCTGGAATGACTGCAAGTTAATCACACCTTCAAGGCTGTATGTGGTAAATATGCCATAGAGTGTATCTACACCAACACATTTTAGTTAGAATTCTAGAAGGTTTTTTTTTAAAAAAAAAAATTTCAGTGATGATTACTTTGTGCAGCTTGCTTCTTCCATAAGTCCTCCTTCTAAACAATAAAAAACAACTTCTCCCTCTTGTAAGAATATATTTTCCCCTTTAAACAATAGTGATTAATTTACTGTTGATGTCTCTCTTTGATCACTCCAGATATGCAGACAAACAATCATATTTTGGTTTATTAAAGCACTCATACTCAGGCTTCCTACTGAAAAAACAGATTCCCTTCCCCTTGTAAGCCAACAGAAAAGTAAACCAAAAAAAAACACAAAATCTCACCGTCCTGAGGACCGATAAAAAACAGCAACAAATTCAAAACAGCCTATGAATACTCCATGGATGGGGAAAAGAGAACAACTGTCCGTTCAGGTGTGTGTCCAAAACACAAGGGATTACGGGAGTTGTGATCTGGAAAATAAACTTTTCCAATCTCTTCTCTTACACAAAGATATGCAGATCAACTTTAAAAAGAAAAGGTCAGAAACAACTGTGGTAATGCTTTTCCAGATCATCCTTTTTTTAAAAAAAAAAATGAAACTAGTTGTTACCCATATGTTATGTGGAAGATCCAGATGTTCTTTCTTTGTGATGTGCTTGATTGCATTTTCACACTTTGAACTGCAGTGCTTCATCCCTGAGATAATACCCCTTTCTTCCTCTCCCCTCCACCAACACGCCTACAACAGAAACTGTGACTCTATGCAATCTAGCGGTGTGTCACTTCAGCACCACTGAGTTACCTCCAAATCCCTTGATCTATGTAACACTTTCCTAAGCATGTTAATGGTGTCATGGGAAGCATTAACAGGGATGCACTCAAAGCAGAAAGAAGAAAAAAGTAACAGGGATACATTAGAAGTGGCTGCCACAGTATTTGTGTATTTCAACACACTAAGATCTGGGGTTAAGAGGAATTAAGAGCAAAAGGCATATGCAACTGAGAAATTTGCTCTCATAAGCCGACTTTCCTAATAGTCCTTCAACCCAGGTACCTTTTTCTGAAGAATTTATTCTTTCAGTACTGCATGCCAGGTGCTTTGAGGCTAGTTTACAAAGGAGTTAACCAGGAGAATGGAGACTCTGCCATCCTACCACCACTGCATCTACGTCTTATTTTGTTCTTGAAAGCAGACCCAGACATACATGACTGTCATCTGCTTTTGGCCAACGGTTCAAAACGATCCATGATTTGGACAATTCAGACTTTGGAAAACCAACCCATTGATCCCCATTTGTCCCTTACTCAGTAAATCTAGATGTGTGTGTTTTGACATACTGTTCACCATGCTTGATGCTTTACTTAAAAAAAAAAAAAGGATACACACAGCATACTTTTTA